AGGCAACGGACGGATGGCCTGTGACGCTGACTTACTGGGTCCTGCCTGCTGTGACATTGCCTGGGTGCTACCATGTGCCGGTGACTGAGGTACTGATTCAGAGTTCGTAATCGGGAGCCTAGAGATTCCTAAGGACTCGAACATGGCCGGGTCAATTCCAACAGGCTTGCTCGCTGACGCTGGCGGTGTTTTGTACGCATCCTGGGACTTCTGCCGGCCCAGCAGCGCACGGCTAAATGGGTCGTCCATGCTACATGGCTGGACAAGGTGCCATGGCAACTGGTTGCAGTAGTTTTCAACAACCTGTCACGTCACAGGTATCAGGCATCGGAATCTGTGGCAGTGATCGTGTCATGTCACTTGGCCTGTTAACGGTCACGCCTCTAAGCGCCTTGAGACCACGTACTGTGACTACGGCCGACGGTGACATCGACTCTGCCAATGTGATCAGCTCAGTCAACGTCATGTGCCCTGACATCGCAATCGAGTAGGACGCGACAAGGGCCTGGTCAAAGGTCTCAGGCTCGGCCAGTCTCACGGCCCTTGTCACGATACCTGCTCGCTTGCCAAAGATCGTGAGCAGTACGCACTCGGCAGTGACAGGAGGCTGCTCCCACTTGAGCCTTGTCCCGAGGCATGCGCATGTGAGCTCGAACACGTCCCTGTCACTGAATGCGATCTCAGGCCTGGGCAAGTCCAACGCAGGCCTGTCCAGCAGGATCACGAACGTGCGCCGTGTCATCTACGTCTGACGCTGTGACAGGTGCGGGAACCAGATGTCGTTGCTCGCCAACAGGACTGTGAGGTCCAGGACACCGACTCCGCCTGACACACTGACAAGGTCGCCGCCGCAGACCTCCTTCCAGAACGTGGCGTTGACCTTGCCATCCTTCAATACGACATCGCCATGGGACGTGAACCGGTAGTCCATGAGCCCAGCCTTCTCGTCCTCTGGCAGGTTCGAGGCCGTGCCAGGGTAGTTCTTGCTCAACGGTCTGTAGCAACCAGGCAGTTGCGATGCCAGGACCTGCAGAGCCGTGGACTTGCCCTCGCCTCCCTTGGGCCCGTACAGGTACAGGATCCGAGGCCGTGCAATGGGATCCAGCAGTCCATTGCCCACTGTCCACATGACAAGCCTCAGACGCTCAGGTGTCAGGACCTTGGACAGGATGACCTCTGCCTTGGACATGTGCACCTGGTTCCAGTACGATGGCAAGAGTCCGATGGACAGCGGTCTCCTGACCAGTGATCCGAGCCTACGTGACGGGGCCACGAGCTCTGGTACAAGCTCGGGACAGGGTCTGAACACGAGCGCAGGCAAGGACCATGGACGCAGTTGACGGGCACTGTGTCCTCTGCCGTTGTCATTGTCACCACAGTCCTGGTCCTGGTCATCTGACTGGGGATCGCCATCTGATTCGATCCCAGGCGTGCTCGGCGTCTCGTCACTGTCATGGTCACCGCGCGCGGTCCCTGGCAATGGATGGGCCTCGATCACGCCCACAGGCGCAGGGATCTGTACGGGTGCAGGCGTGACACGGGCCGTGCCTTCGATGATCCGTGTCCTGGCCCTGTCCGTTGCCTCGTCCATGGCAGGCTCACGTGGCATTGGCTCATCGAACTCGTACGGACGCAGTGTAAGCCTCCACGTTCCATAGCACACGCTCCTGGGCACTGATGGCACGTTCAAGGCCAAGCGTTCCAGGATGTCCAGAACGGTGCCGTGGCCGTTGCAAAGTTCACAGTCGTCGAGCCCATGCCCATGACATCAGCCAGTTCACGCATCGCAGCCAGGCTCCTAGTCAGAGTCCAAACGGCCATGCGCCTGACCAGCATCAGCACCGTGGCACCTGATCGCACCATCCAACGCCGGCTGACGTACTTCTGGATCAGCGGTCCCATGCGCTCGTCAGTTCTCAGGTTCAGGGGCCCTGTCAGCGGATAATCGTCCAAGTAGGCTCCGTTACTGTTCCATTCGACTGATGGCAACTGTCTACGTCCAATTGTCCTGGCACTTGTACCTCGTCGATCAGCCATGGTCACAGGTCATGTAACAGTGACTGGACCAACGCGTTGTACAGCCACCAGGGTCAGGTGAAGCTGCAATTGTCATTTGCCCCTTCCTGTTCCAGTTGAACTAGCACATTGCCATGGACCATGAACCATTGCCCAGGTACGACGTCAGCCACCTGGACCAGTGCATTGACGAGGGCTGGACCCCTGTCTGGTCAGCGCCCTGTGGTCCTGTGGGCGAGTACCCGGCACCGCCTGAGTACTTGGACGTGACTCGTGGGCCTTGTCAGATGCTCATGAAACTGGCCAGGGGTCGATTGCGTACCTGGATCGTAGTCAAGCTTCCAGTTGCAGGTGACGTGATCGCTGGCAAATGCCTCGTACGCAAGCTCCGGTCTGTGCCTGGTGTCAGTCGACCTGGGATCACGTCCAGTACAAGGGGCGAACAGGCCGTTGCAAGGATGGCAGCTGTCCTTGGCATTGGCGCGTTCTGCAGACCTGGCCTGAGCATCAAGGAAGGGCTCGTACCACCTGTCGACGTGACGATTGCAGGCCTCGATATCGAAGTCAGGACCGGCAACGATCCTGGCTCAGGTTGGCCCCTTGCATTGGACGATATCCTGAGCATCGCGGTGTCTGCGCCCGATGGTCAGTGTCACGTCTGTTACACCACGGGCCGTGTTACAGATCCAGGACTGTTACAGGACGAGCGCATGTACTTGTGCCGTGTTATGGACTCGACTGCGGCTGTTGCATGGGCTATAGGCGTTGTCGAATGCATGGAACCAGACGTCCTGGCCGTGCACAATGGCTTGTCCTTTGACTTGCCCAGGTTGGCAGCCCATTGTCCTGTGCACCTACGTAACCGATTCACAGCCGTCAACCTGGACGCTAGCAGGCAGGGCGTGACCATGAACCTGCGTGGCGTGAACCTGGTAGACACTTACCACTACTTGGACAAGCTGCACAGGCAAGAGTGGCAGGGCACGTCACTTGCAGCAGTGGCAGAACGCGTGGGCTTGCCAAGGAAGCTCAGTTACCTGTCACCGTCATTCTCGCCATCGTCCAATGATCCGATCGATGCTTTGATCCTGTACAACGCACACGATGCCTGGTTGCACGCTGGCATTGCTCGGCTGACAGGATGCGTTAACGAGATCTGCACCGTTGCCGGCTGTCTCAAGGCTCCGATGACTGACGCGTCCAGGTTTATCAGCGGCACGATGGTCAGCAACCTGGCCTCGTCCCATGTCCTGTCCACGGGCTACGTCTTTGACTGGGCACCTGAGGACGTTGACCAGGACGGTGGCAAGTACCGAGGTGCATGGGTCCTGGATCCTGTGCCAGGTGTTCACGGCCCTGTTGCTGTATGCGATGTCAGCTCCATGTATCCGACCATCATGAGGGACTTGAACGTGTCAATGGAAACTGAGACACACAGACACGTGCCAGGGTACGAGGACCTTGGCAATGGATCATTGGCCTGGACTGATGACGTTTGCACAATCGTAACAGACGACGGACCTGTGTCATTCGATCGGACAACGCCCGGTGTCCTTCGCAAATGCCTGGAGGCGTTGATGGCCAAGCGTGACGAGGTCGGTCGCAAGAGCACGATGGGTTGGTCATTCAAGATCGCAGTCCTCAGCATCTATGGCGAGCTAGGGGCCAAGGATTCGTCATTCTCATCAAGGACGTGTGCATCGGCTGTGACAACGGCTGGCAGATGGGTATTGGCCTCGATCAGTGGCATTGCAATGGTCACAGGGCTGAGACCAGTGTACGGTGACACGGACTCAGTCTTTGTGACGTTGCCAGGGTCATCGGACGGTCTGCAGGCATTCGAGGGCAGGGTCACGGCCTTCACCAGGTATGTTGGCTCAGTCTTCGGACGCACGCCTCTTGTGTCGCTGAGCCTGGAGTCAGAGGCCACGTACCTGCAGCTGGTCTGCGTGGGCAAGAAGGCGTACTGTGGCATGCGCACAAGGTTCGGCTCCTGTGGCAAGGATCCCGTCTGGCATGCAAAGGGCCTGGCATCAGTCAGACGTGACAGGCCCAAGGCAGCGCAGGCGTTCATGGAGATCGTGGCCAAGTGCATCTGCCAGGGCAATCGTGACTTGGTCCACGTCGCACGTACGATGGTCGAGTCCCTGACCCGTTGGCTGTCTAGTGACTTGTGCTCTGCTGACCTGTGCATCGAGCGCAGGATCCAGGGCGTGCCAAGCGTACAGTTCGTTGACTCGATCGGTGCTCACGTGACGTTGCCAATGGACCGATTCGAATCAGCCAGCGTGCAGCCGTCGTTGAACTGGGCCATGAGCAAGTTCCAGGCCAGTGTTACTAGGATTCTGCAGTCCTGTGGCCTGCCCAGTGTCAGGGAGCTGTTGACTGTGGCTCATATGGCTGGTTCGGACGTCGCATGTCTGTGCGAGGCACTGGACCGTGGACTTTGACTGCTTGAACGTGTTCAAAAGTCTACTTACTCGATCATGGAAGCGCCATTTTCAGCAGACGAATTGCCATTGCACGAGGACCCAGGCATTGACGTCGGACAGTTACCAGGGTTCGCTGATGGACTGTTGGCAAGCACATGGCAAGTGTCACGTGGTACGACGCCTGGACTGGTCAACGTTTAGTGCCTCACAACATTTGCATCTTATTGATGCAGATGGTTTTGTTTCTAACATGGTGCCCCAGCAGTCTGGGGTTCGATTCCCTCTGTGGGCGAGTTTGTGCTTTATCAGCTTTGACAATCTCCCAATGTGGGAGTGTAGATTTATGGTCCAAATTGGTGTGATCCAAATGCTTCTCTTCCTGTTATACCATCAACATTTTCAAATTGTTGTATTGTGAGGCGTGGGATGGCATTGGGGATGACATGTGCATTGGCATTGGCATGGGCGTGGGTATGGCATGGGCATGGGATGCACATGGGCATGGGCATTTCTTTGCCTGGGCATTTGCATGGTGCCACATGTGCACACCAGGCCTCAATTTCGGGCGCAAGATGCATGCAGTGGCCAACACGGCTCTGCGCCTCGTTGCCTCCATGAAGCGCGACTGGATCCAGGTGAGGGGCAGGCGTTGGGGAGGGGAGGGGCAGGGGAGGAGGGGCAGGGGAGGGCAGGGGAGGAGGGGCAGGGGAGGGCAGGGGAGGAGGGGCAGGGGAGGAGGGGCAGGGGAGGAGGGGCAGGGGAGGGCAGGGGAAGATGGGCAGGGGAGAGGGGCAGGGGAGGAGGGGCATGGGAGGGGTGACAAGCACTCTCTGTTGGAAGCTCAAGATGCATGCAGTGGCCAACACGGCTCTGCGCCTCGTTGCCTCCATGAAGCGCGACTGGATCCATTTCCCAAATTGGGGACTTTCTTTACAATTTTGAAAATCCCCCATACCCTCTCGCTTCCTGTCTTTTCCCCCATCCCCCTTCAGACATGTCGGCCAAAATGAGGCCAATGGAAATTGAACCCTTGACCTCTGCTACGAAGGAAAGATAAGCTAACAAACTAGGACATTATAATGGATATGTTTAGGTGCTTTAGAATACCCAGGACGATAACCATACGCAGATCCACCCCCACAACCCCCCCGCAACTCCAGTCTACTCCCCTCCCTCTCCATCTTCTATCTCCCCTCCAGACCGGTCGCAAGCCTAATGTGATGTGATGTGTGGAGCGGCGCTGCTGATAGCAGTACACTACTGATAGCAGTACACTGTTCACCCCCCCATCTCCCCATCTCCCCATCTCCCCATCTCCCCCTAGTTCTCCTCATTCTCTCCCCATCTCTCATCTTCCATCTCCCATCTTCCATCTCCCATCTTCCATCTTCCATCTCCCATCTCCCTTCCAGACTGGTCGCAAGCCCAATGGGGTGTGTGGAGCGGCGCTGCTGATAGCGGCACACATTCACGGCTTTGAGCGGTCCAAGTCGGATGTGGTGGGTGCGGGTGGATGGGTGGATGATGGGTGGGTGGATGGTGCGTGGGATTCGGTGGGTGGGTGGGTGGATGATGGTTGGGTGGATGGTGCGTGGGATTCGGTGGGTGGGTGGGTGGATGGTTGGGAGAGGGCCAGACTGCCAGGGGTTAGGGTTAAGTTTCGGGTACACTGAACTGATTGCGTTTTGAGACGTCTCAAAACACTTCTTCAGTTTCGGGTACACTGAACTGATTGCGGCTAGAATTTATGAAAGGCTTCATAGCACCTTGGGTGCAGGGGTGCTATCAGCTACCTACCTGTTGGCTAGTGTCGCTTCGATGGGCCTTCTGCTGCTGGCTGCAAGTGGCTGTGCTGTGCTGCTGCAGTGATGTTCCTTAATCTGTATGATTGGTAATGAGTGGTGTGAATGTAAACACACGGTGCGACTGTATACACACAGTGTATCTGCCATGTATGGTTTTTGAGAACTCTCAAAAAACATACACTGCAGGTGGCAGTGGTGCATGCATGTGAGCAGGCCTTGCATGCGGTATCGCCTGACCCGACCCGACCCATCCCAACCCGACCCGACCCAACCCAACCCTACCCGACCCAACCCGATCCGACTCGACCCGACCCGACCCGACCCGACCCGACCCGACCCGACCCGACCCAACCCGACCCGACGTGACTTGCCCCAACGTGACCTGTCCTGACCTGTCCTGCACGAGTGGGAAGGCACAGAGGCAGATAGGCAGGCCTCCCAGTGTCCACCAGTCCTCTCACAACATGCTTCCCACATGCAGGTGGCAGTGGTGCATGTGTGTGAGCAGACCGTGCGGCACCGCCTGACTTGCACTGCACTCTCCCTCGTTCTCCCTCACTCTCCCTCACGCTCTCGCATTCTCTCACTCTCTCTCCCTCACACCGCGTATAGGTGGCGGTGGTGCTTGTGTGTTAGCAGACCATGCGGCACCTTATGACTTGCGCCCCACTGCACTCTCCCTCACTCTTTTCGCTCTCCGTCTCTCTCCTTCACGCGGCATGCAGGTGGCAGTGGTGCATGTGTGTGAGCAGACCGTGCGGCACCGACTGCATGAGTTTGAAGGCACAGAGGCAGGCGGTCTCACTGTAAGTGCCGCCACTCCCTCTTACACTCTTACGGTCTCACTGTAAGTGCCGCCTCTCCCTCTTACGCTCTTACGGTCTCACTGTAAGTGCCGCCTCTCCTCCTACGCTCTTACGCCCCATGTTTTTCTGAAGAATGCTTACAGAGATCAGATCACTCCCTATTCTCCCCACCACCTCCCCCCTTTTTTCTGGTCTCAGTCACCCACTTCCACGCACCATGCCAGTTTCTCCCTCCTCACTCCATCCTCTTCCAACCTTCCCAAACGCCAACTCATATCTTTGAGTCGACTCAAAACACAACTCATATACCCAGTCGTTGATCGAAGAGAAGGCCAAGGAGTGGGACGAGCTGCTGTTCTCCACCCACCCACACGCACCGTGCCAACTCTGACCTCCTATACCCCCTCTCGTCGTTTCCTCCCCCCCCCCACTTCCCTTTCTTTAGCCTGAGGAGTTCGAGGAGAAGGCCAAGGAGTGGGATGAGTTGCTCTTCTCCACCCAGCTGCCTACCTGCACCCACCATGTTATATGCTCCCTCCCTCTCTCCCCACTCCTTCTAAACCTTCCAACTCCCCCCACCTCCCTTTACCCAGCCTGAGGAGTTTGAAGAGAAGGCCAAGGAGTGGGACGAGCTTCTCTTTTCCACCCAGCCGCCCACCCCTGCTCTCGCCCCTCCTGCCTCTGCCCTCGCCCCTGCTGCTGCTGCCCTCGCTACCAAGGGCAAGCAGGGGAAGGGGAAAGCAGGGGGGGCAGCAGGGGGAGGGGCGAGGGGAGACGCAGGGGGGTATGGGGAGCCGGGTGGTGGGGAAGATGGGGAGGGGGAGGTGGGGGAGGGGGGAGCGGGGGAGGTGGAGCAGGGGGAAGGGGAGGAGGGGGTGGTGGCGAATGGGGGTGGGGGCGTGGGTGGGGGGGAAGTGGGGGAGGTGTATTTGACTCAGTGTCAGCATAAGGATGCTGGGGCGGCTCATTTTGCACATGGGCTCTGCAGGCCGTGCTATGACATGGTACGGAGCGGTGTAGTGTGGTACCAGTACGGTATGGTATGGTATGGTATGGTATGGTATGGTTTGGTATGGTGTACTGCTACTGATGATACAGTGCCAGCATGAGGAGGCTGGGACAGCTCATTTCGCCCATGGGCTCTGCAGGCCGTGCTATGACATGGTACGTGCTATGACATGGTACGTGCTATGACATGGTACGTGCTATGACATGGTACGTGCTATGACATGGTACGTGCTGTGACATGGTACGTGCTATGACATGGTACGTGCTATGACATGGTACGTGCTATGACATGGTACGTGCTGTGACATGGTACGTGCTATGACATGGTACGTGCTATGACATGGTACGTGCTATGACATGGTACGTGCTGTGACATGGTACGTGCTATGACATGGTACGTGCTGTGACATGGTACGTGCTATGACATGGTACGTGCTATGACATGGTACGTGCTATGACATGGTACATGCTCTGACATGGTACGTGCTATGACATGGTACGTGCTATGACATGGTACGTGCTATGACATGGTACGTGCTATGACATGGTACGTGCTATGACATGGTACGTGCTATGACATGGTACGTGCTGTGACATGGTACGTGCTATGACATGGTACGTGCTATGACATGGTACGTGCTATGACATGGTACGTGCTGTGACATGGTACGTGCTATGACATGGTACGTGCTATGACATGGTACGTGCTATGACATGGTACATGCTATGACATGGTACGTGCTATGACATGGTACGTGCTATGACATGGTACGTGCTATGACATGGTACGTGCTATGACATGGTACGTGCTATGACATGGTACGTGCTGTGACATGGTACGTGCTATGACATGGTACGTGCTATGACATGGTACGTGCTATGACATGGTACATGCTATGACATGGTACGTGCTATGACATGGTACGTGCTATGACATGGTACGTGCTATGACATGGTACATGCTATGACATGGTACGTGCTATGACATGGTACGTGCTATGACATGGTACGTGCTATGACATGGTACGTGCTATGACATGGTACGTGCTGTGACATGGTACGTGCTATGACATGGTACGTGCTATGACATGGTACGTGCTATGACATGGTACATGCTATGACATGGTACGTGCTATGACATGGTACATGCTATGACATGGTACGTGCTATGACATGGTACATGCTATGACATGGTACGTGCTATGACATGGTACGTGCTATGACATGGTACGTGCTATGACATGGTACGTGCTATGACATGGTACGTGCTGTGACATGGTACGTGCTATGACATGGTACGTGCTATGACATGGTACGTGCTGTGACATGGTACGTGCTATGACATGGTACGTGCTGTGACATGGTACGTGCTATGACATGGTACGTGCTATGACATGGTACGTGCTGTGACATGGTACGTGCTATGACATGGTACGTGCTATGACATGGTACGTGCTATGACATGGTACGTGCTATGACATGGTACGTGCTATGACATGGTACGTGCTGTGACATGGTACGTGCTGTGACATGGTACGTGCTATGACATGGTACGTGCTATGACATGGTACGTGCTATGACATGGTACGTGCTATGACATGGTACGTGCTATGACATGGTACGTGCTATGACATGGTACGCGTGCTGTGACATGGTACGCGTGCTGTGACATGGTACGTGCTATGACATGGTACGTGCTATGACATGGTACGTGCTATGACATGGTACGTGCTGTGACATGGTACGTGCTATGACATGGTACGTGCTATGACATGGTACGTGCTATGACATGGTACGTGCTATGACATGGTACGTGCTATGACATGGTACGTGCTATGACATGGTACGTGCTGTGACATGGTACGTGCTATGACATGGTACGTGCTATGACATGGTACGTGCTATGACATGGTACGTGCTATGACATGGTACGTGCTGTGACATGGTACGTGCTATGACATGGTACGTGCTATGACATGGTACGTGCTATGACATGGTACGCGTGCTGTGACATGGTACGTGCTATGACATGGTACGTGCTATGACATGGTACGTGCTATGACATGGTACGTGCTGTGACATGGTACGTGCTATGACATGGTACGTGCTATGACATGGTACGTGCTATGACATGGTACGTGCTATGACATGGTACGTGCTATGACATGGTACGTGCTATGACATGGTACGTGCTATGACATGGTACGTGCTATGACATGGTACGTGCTATGACATGGTACGTGCTATGACATGGTACGTGCTATGACATGGTACGTGCTATGACATGGTACGCGTGCTGTGACATGGTACGCGTGCTGTGACATGGTACGCGTGCTGTGACATGGTACGTGCTATGACATGGTACGTGCTGTGACATGGTACGTGCTGTGACATGGTACGTGCTGTGACATGGTACGTGCTATGACATGGTACGTGCTATGACATGGTACGTGCTATGACATGGTACGTGCTATGACATGGTACGTGCTATGACATGGTACGTGCTGTGACATGGTACGTGCTATGACATGGTACGTGCTATGACATGGTACGTGCTATGACATGGTACATGCTATGACATGGTACGTGCTATGACATGGTACGTGCTATGACATGGTACGTGCTATGACATGGTACGTGCTATGACATGGTACGCGTGCTGTGACATGATACGTGCTATGAAATGGTACGTGCTATGACATGGTACGTGCTGTGACATGGTACGTGCTATGACATGGTACGTGCTATGACATGGTACGTGCTATGACATGGTACGTGCTATGACATGGTACGTGCTATGACATGGTACGTGCTATGACATGGTACGTGCTATGACATGGTACGTGCTATGACATGGTACGTGCTATGACATGGTACGTGCTATGACATGGTACGTGCTATGACATGGTACGTGCTATGACATGGTACGCGTGCTGTGACATGGTACGTGCTATGACATGGTACGTGTGCTGTGACATGGTACGTGTGCTGTGACATGGTACGCGTGCTGTGACATGGTACGTGCTGTGACATGGTACGTGCTGTGACATGGTACGTGCTATGACATGGTACGTGCTATGACATGGTACGTGCTATGACATGGTACGTGCTATGACATGGTACGTGCTATGACATGGTACGTGCTGTGACATGGTACGTGCTATGACATGGTACGTGCTATGACATGGTACGTGCTATGACATGGTACATGCTATGACATGGTACGTGCTATGACATGGTACGTGCTATGACATGGTACGTGCTATGACATGGTACGTGCTATGACATGGTACGCGTGCTGTGACATGATACTTGCTATGACATGGTACGTGCTATGACATGGTACGTGCTGTGACATGGTACGTGCTATGACATGGTACGTGCTATGACATGGTACGTGCTATGACATGGTACGTGCTATGACATGGTACGTGCTATGACATGGTACGTGCTATGACATGGTACGTGCTATGACATGGTACGTGCTATGACATGGTACGTGCTATGACATGGTACGTGCTATGACATGGTACGTGCTATGACATGGTACGTGCTATGACATGGTACGCGTGCTGTGACATGGTACGTGCTATGACATGGTACGTGCTATGACATGGTACGTGCTATGACATGGTACGTGCTGTGACATGGTACGTGCTATGACATGGTACGTGCTGTGACATGGTACGTGCTATGACATGGTACGTGCTATGACATGGTACGTGCTATGACATGGTACGTGCTGTGACATGGTACGTGCTATGACATGGTACGTGCTATGACATGGTACGTGCTATGACATGGTACGTGCTATGACATGGTACGTGCTATGACATGGTACGTGCTATGACATGGTACGTGCTATGACATGGTACGTGCTATGACATGGTACGTGCTATGACATGGTACGTGCTGTGACATGGTACGTGCTATGACATGGTACGTGCTATGACATGGTACGTGCTATGACATGGTACGTGCTATGACATGGTACGTGCTGTGACATGGTACGTGCTATGACATGGTACGTGCTATGACATGGTACGTGCTATGACATGGTACGCGTGCTGTGACATGATACGTGCTATGACATGGTACGTGCTATGACATGGTACGTGCTGTGACATGGTACGTGCTATGACATGGTACGTGCTATGACATGGTACGTGCTATGACATGGTACGTGCTATGACATGGTACGTGCTATGACATGGTACGTGCTATGACATGGTACGTGCTATGACATGGTACGTGCTATGACATGGTACGTGCTATGACATGGTACGTGCTATGACATGGTACGTGCTATGACATGGTACGCGTGCTGTGACATGGTACGTGCTATGACATGGTACGTGCTATGACATGGTACGTGCTATGACATGGTACGTGCTGTGACATGGTACGTGCTATGACATGGTACGTGCTATGACATGGTACGTGCTATGACATGGTACGTGCTATGACATGGTACGTGCTATGACATGGTACGTGCTATGACATGGTACGTGCTATGACATGGTACGTGCTATGACATGGTACGTGCTATGACATGGTACGTGCTATGACATGGTACGTGCTATGACATGGTACGTGCTATGACATGGTACGTGCTGTGGCATGAATGTGTTGCTTGTGGGCTGTGCTCTGATATGCACCCACCATGCGCCATGCCATCACATCCCATCCTCCCATCCTCCCTTTCCCCTTCCCCCCAGCTGGCACGGACAAGCGGAGGTTTGGTAGGGGGAGCCAACCCGCCTGCATGGGGGCGGGGGGAGAGGGAGCAGCGGAAAGCAGAGCTGAGGAGGCGGAGAAGCCGCCTCACTGTGTACAGCGTGTTTGGGCAGGAGGAGCGGGAGGAGGGGGATGGATACGGAGAAAGGGAGGAGTGGGGAGTTGGAAGGGAAGTTATGGCTGTTGGCCAGAAGGGGAAGGGTGGAGGTGCGGGTGTGGCGGTGGCGGCAGGGAAAGGGGTGGTTGCTGCGAAAGCGGGAGGGAAGGGAGGGAAAGCGGGGAAGGATGGGGTGTCGAAGCGCGAGAGAGCAAGGCAGAGGATTGAGAAGGTGAGCGCATTTCATCACTCCAGAGTTCCCTAAACGTAGCTACTTGTTTCAGGAAGGATCTACACTCGATATTTCTACGTGCTTAATGAATGTTCCTGAGGTCAAGTGGAGAGCTAATCTCATCGTACCACGCTCCATTCCTTTTCATCCCTCTCCACCCCTCCACAACCCTCTCCATCCCACTTGACCGACAGGATCTAGATGCAGCTTTGCACCGAGCTGAAATTGCTCCACTTGTGGTCCACACGCTTCCAGACTCACTGGGACCTGCCGAACCAGATACCCTAGGCTCGGTCAGGCGTGACGGTCTAGGTTCGGCAGGCATAGATCCGAGCCTGGTGGATGACCCCGATCCAGATTTCTTGGCTGGGGAAGAGGGTGGGATGGGCGGCGGAGGGAGGTTCGGGGGAAGTGTTGGGGAGATTGGGGAGGAGGAGCAGGAGGGGGTGGAAGATGAAGAGGAGGAAGAGGAGGAGGAGGAAGAGGAAGAGGAGGAAGATACTTTGTCAGATATAGAGGATCACGAGGTAACGTCTCATTGGTCTATGTTGGTGTGTTTAAAGTCGACTCAAAACACAGAAGAGGAGGAGGAAGAGGAAGAGGAAGAGGAAGAGGAGGAGGAATATACTTTGTTGGATATTGAAGATCATGAGGTAACGTCTCGTTGGTCAGTTGAGCAGAAGCCAATAGCAGGAAGCAACAACTGAGGAGGACTTGAAAAGGTACTTGGAGGTTTTTGAGAATTCTCAAAAACCAGCTCGTCTCCCTTCCTTCCACACCCTCCCTCCATGCCTTTTGTTCTGCTAGTCATCATGTCTTGTGTGCTCCGTGTTTCCGCCTCACCACGTAGCCGCCACTCATTGCTGTCAGTGACCCTTCATCTCATGCTCTTTACCAGAGGCAATATCTGGTGAATTTTCTGAGGCGCCTAAAAAAATCTAAAAGAAATCTAGGCGCCTAAAAAATCGCCTCACATTGCTGTTGGTGACCCTTCATCTGATGCTCTTCGCCAGAGGCAATATCTGGTGAAGATTCTCATTTACCCCTCTGCCCACCAATTGAGGTGTACTTTGAGGCGCCGCAAAATGCTCCTCAATACACACGGATTTTGAGGCGCCTCAAAATGCTGCTCCCTGCCAGAGGCAATATCTGGTGACGTTTCTGCTGTACCCCGCTTCCCACCCTCTCTTTTGAGGCGCCTCAAAAGTCATCTCATGCTCTTCGACTTAAAGTCAACCAGGCAATATCTGGTGACGTTTCTGATATACCCCCTCTGCCCACCCTCCCCCTCCCCATCTGCAGGTGGATGGTTACCTTCTAGGGGAAGAAGAGGTGAAGCTGAAGACGCTGATATGGACAGAGATGAGCAAGGAGGAGCAGTAGCAGTATCGGGAGGAGCTGCAGCAGAAGCAACTTGCTTGACAGCCCTCCCTCCCCACTCTCTACCCTGCCTTTCCGTCCCCATTACAGGTGGAGGGGTAACTTTTAGGAGAGGAAGAAGTGAAGCTGAAGACGCTGATATGGACGGAGATGAACAAGGAATATTTAGAGGAGTTGGAGCAGAAGAGGTTCTTTCTTCACACCCCTCCCTCCCCTGCCTTCTCCCCCGCCCCCCGTTACAGGTCGACGGGTATCTTCTGGGAGAGGAGGAGGTGAAGCTGAAGACGCTGATATGGACGGAGATGAACAAGGAATATTTAGAAGAGTTGGAGCAGAAGCAGGCGGCACAGCGGGCGGCAGAGGACCAGGTGGCGGCGGTGGCGGCTGCAGCGGCTGCAGCGGCGAGCAAATGTGGTGCCGGGACGTCGGCCCGTGCTGCTGCAGCCGCCGCAGCTGCTGCTGCAGTGCTGCAAAAGGTGCGTTTCAGTGTGTCGTGCAGTGCTACTGCACTGCAGTGCAGGTGGAGTGCTCCAGTGCTTGAGTTGAGACAGTGGGAAGGTACCTTTTCGAGGCTATAGGATGAGATGAGTGGCCAAAGGGCACGTTGCAGCGGGCAGCAGAGGACCAGGTGGCAGCGGTGGCGGCGGCAGCGGCTGCAGCAGCGGGCAAATGCGGTGCCGGGACGTCGGCCCGTGCTGCTGCTGCCGCCATAGCTGCTGCTGCTGTGCTTCAGAAGGTGCGTCTTGGTGTGTGTTTCAGTGACAGTGTCGCAGCAGCGCTGCAGCAGTGGCGGGCAAACGTGGTGCAGTGACGTCAGCACGTGCTGCTGCGGCAGCGCTGCAAAAGTTGTGCCTTGTTGTGTTCTAGTGTGTGTTCTCAGAAATACTACCATAACACAGTTCTCCTAAAGGTGTGCCTTGGTGTGTCTTCCAGCGGAATCGTAAATCCATAGCGCTGCCGTGCTGTGCTGCCGTGCTGTGCTGCAGTGCTGTGCTGTGTTGCTGCGGAAGGTTTGCCTTTGTGTGTGCTGGGCTATATCCCTCTGTGGGTGTGCTGGGATATATCCCTCTGTGGGTGTGCTGGGCTATATCCCTCTGTGGGTGTGCTGGGCTATATCCCTCTGCACTGCTGCACACCTGTTGTGTGCCGCTCACTGCCAATAAGCATTAAAGCTGTGAATAGCTACATGATATCATTGATATCAAGCAGAATGTATTCATTCAGAGTTGTCTTAACTGTTTCTGTTGAACACATTTGCAGGGAGGGCTCGATCGCAAGCGGAGGCGCAAGGACGAGGCAGCACTGGGTCCTGCCCAGTCAGCAGCGGAAGCTGCCAAGAGGGTTCTTGACAAGAAGGTGAGGCTCTTTCCTCTTTCCTCTTTCCTCTTTCCTCTCAACAAGAAGGTGGGCCTTTCTTCTGCTGCTACACTGTGTCCCCTGGCACCCATACTAGCCCTCCTCCTCCTCCTCCTCCTCCTCCTCCTCCTCCTCCTCCTCCTCCTCCTCCTCCTCCTCCTCCTCCTCCTCTCCTCTCTTTCCCCTCCTCCTCTTCCTTCTCCTCCTCCTCCTCCTCCTCCTCCTCCTCCTCCTCCTCCTCCTCCTCCTCCTCCTCCTCCTCCTCCTCCTCCTCCTCAGCATCCTCCTCCTCCTCCTCCTCCTCCTCCTCCTCCTCCTCCTCCTCCTCCTCCTCCTCCTCCTCCTCCTCCTATTCCCCCTTCTCATCCTCTTTTCCTCCTCCATCCCTCTTCTTCTCCAAACGTGCTGCTTCTGCATCTGACTCCCCATCCGACCCATGAATCCCTTCTCTCTGCCACTCTCATCCTATCCACTCCTTCCCACTCCTTCCCACTCCTTCCCACTCCCTTCCACCATGCAGAGCTCAGCGCACGTTAACATGGAGGCTCTCGGCCAGCTATTCTCCGATGGTGGTGGCACTGCTACTGCTGGGGCTGGAGCCGGGGCTGATGCTGCAGCTGGGCAAGGGGGGCCAAAGAAGCAGCAGCACGTGCGATGGGGCGATCAGGCTGCTGCTGCTGCTGCTGGTGCTGCCGCTGGTGTTGCTGCTGCTGATGATGAAGCAGTGACAGCAGGGGCAGAGGAAGGGCCGCTCGCAGGGGGGTATGGTGGAGCAGAAGCTGGGGGGCATGATCCTGATGCAGCAGAAGCAGCCTTGGCTGGAGATGAGCCGTGGGGAGGGGATGGTGCACTGGGCGGGTATGGTGATGAGTCAGCTGCGTACGGTGCTGAGTCAGCAGGGCATGTGGAAGGAGACATGGGGGTGGGGCATGATGATAATGTGGAGCATAGGGGAGTGGATGGGGAGGAGGGTGATATGGATGGTGCTGCTGGGTTGCATAATGGGGATGGTGCAGGTGATGGTGGTGGTGGTGATGGTGGTGGTGGTGAGGAGGAGGAGGCAGCAGAGGCACATGCAGCTGATGGGGATGAAACGGAGTACCATGATGTGAATGGGGTGCAGTACCATGTGGAAGCGGGTGAGGAGCACTATAACGAGGATGGGGCAGGAGAGGCAGTGTGGGGAGGAGGCGGGGGAGCGGATCAGCTGTATGGTGCAGATGGCATTGATCCCGATGACCAATACATGTTTTACTGAACATAACCTGTTTTAAAAAAGAAGATTTCATTGTATTTTCTACTTTGAAAAAATGTATGACATAACTGATGTGTTGGAGCTTGGGTACAGGAAGTGTAGATTTCAATGTACTGGTAGCTGGCGTTATCGAATTGTCACACACTAGTGCCTTCTTGTCCAGTTGATGCTGAGTGCATGTTTCCACGCCACATCCTCTCCTTGTCCACTATTCAACATCCGTTTCACGATAGGGTTGTGAGAGCTCGAACTACATTGTACGAATTTCGTATAACAATATTTCACCATGTTGAACACGATTTTTGCACGATTAACTACTCATGGTCGAAAAGAGAGGGCACAAAGCATGAAATGAATGCAGTTATAGTACAAATCAAGCCAGAGTCAAAGAGCGTAAAGAAATTATTATAAAAGGCCCTTCACAAGGTTGTTCCTTCCCCGAAACCCCACACCGTATAATGAGGTAGGCTGCATACCTACACCCAAAAGTGTAACACTCAAGATCTAACGGTAACATCTCGCGTATGGTAGGTAACCTATGCTCCAGTGCTGCTGAAACAATCGGCATACCTGTATAGAAGCCTTGGGAACATGTCACCGCCGTCTCGAGCATGAATGTATACTGTAGTATGTTGACCACTTTAGTGGTCAGATCACCGGAGTGTAGAGCCCATTCAGTGTAGCTGTAACTGTAACTCCAGAAGTCCCAATCCTCCAGTAGAAAAGAGGCTCTCCTGAAAGAATGCCCACTTGCAGTAGCCATTCATTCTTGTATACCCCGCCTGTGGCAGAGTGACATCCATTATATCCATCATTTCAGATCTCACATCTGCCGGGCATCAGCCAGACTCCTCCGCAGCTCCGCCCATTTACCCGTGCCAACCAAACAGCTGGTGCCATGAGAGATGCCATTCTGCGGATACACCCGTAGCGCGCCAACAGCTGCCACATCATCGCAGCTGCCATCTCATCATCGCAGCTGCCACCTCATCACCACAGCTGCAAGCATGCATTGTTGGAGGCATCTCAACACAGCACACCCGCCGGCGCTGCTGCCACTGTCTCTGCTTCTTTCCCCATCTCCCACCAAATGCAGCCTTGCAAACTCCTACCGGCACTCACAAGTCTTACCTCCCCAACCTACACTCGCCCTCCACACAGAAGTCCTACCCACACACCCTGTGCAGAAACACCCTCCCGAGTCCCCACGCTCTGTCTCCCGCCCTGCTCCTCCCCGACTCATCCCCCACTCATCCCCCACTCATTCCTCACCCATTCTCCACTCATCCCCATCTCCTTGATAGCTAGCCTCCACGCTGCCTCTAAGCCTCAGTTTCGGTTAAACCAGCATAAGCACAGTTGAGTTCTGTGCACAGGTTGACACAACCGCTACAGCCGCTGCACCCCTGCTGCTACAGCTGCAGGTACAAAAGCCTTCTCCACCCAACCCTTACTACTGCCGCACACACTCTCTGTCCACTCCGTTGTTTCCCGTCACTCTCCCCATCTCTCAACCCACATCATCTGGGCATCCACCCACCCTCGCCTTCCCCAACACCTCCTCCCCCAACACCTCTCCGTCCACCTCCCCCCACACCTCCGCCCATCCCCTCACCCGTTCCCCTTAGTCTCGTATCTGCAGCAGCAAACAGCGGATTGTAGCAAGGCTAAGGAGCGTTGAATGGCAAAAATCCCATTGGGGGGAGGAAGGCTGTAGCACTGCCAGCTGTAGCACCGGAAGCTGTAGCACCGGCAGCTGTAGTGCCAGAAGCTGTAGCACCAGCAGACCCCAAGGCTGTAGCACTGGCAGCTGTAGCAAGGCTAAGGAGCATTGAACGGCACAAATCCCATGGGGGGGAGGAAGGCTGTAGCACCGGCATCTGTAGTGCCAGAAGCTGTAGTACCAGCAGATACGGCTGTAGCCACGTGCATCGATGGAGCAGATGAGCTGGCGGCCAGGTCAGCAGGAACAGCAGGAAACACAGTGCCGGCTGTAGCAGCAACACTAGCTCCGGCTGTAGCAGGAGCGGTGGAGATCGAAGCTTGAGGAGGAGGATGGTATGGGTAAACCGGACTGGGAATGAGCGATGGGAACGGGGTAAGGCCCAAAGCACTAGGATACTGCTGCAGGTGCATCCCAGGGTGTGTTCCAGGGTGTGTTCCCGGTTGCATTCCAGGTTGCATCGCAGGGTGTGCAAACGGGGGCATGAGAGAATGCGGGAAGAAAGCTCCTGGAAACTGTGAGAAAGGTGGTCCCATGTGGCATGGAACGGCTTCACCTTGTGTCTTTCCAAGTTGTGTATTCGCAGCAGCACCGGCAGCAGAAGCAGTAGAAGCCGTGGCAGCAGCTATAGAAGCAGCTGTAGAAGAAGCTGTAGAAGCAGCTTTAGAAGCAGCTTTAGAAGCAGCTGTAGAAGCAGCTGTAGCAGCAGCTGTAGCAGCAAGTGCTGCAGCCTGTGAAGCAGCTGTAGAAGCAGCTGTAGCTTGCGGGGACGAGCGGCAATGAGGAGCGTTCTCAGCCGGTGCTACTTCTGCATGAGCGTTGGAGAGGAGAGAGAAGGCAGTGGTGAGTTTGGAGTCTTGGGGAGTGCACGAGGTGCGCACGGGGGGGACCTGCTGCTGTATATATTCCTGCTGCTGATTCAACTGCTGCTGCTGCAGCCCCTGCTGCTGTTGCAGCTGCTGCTGACTCTGTTGCTGTTGCTCTTCCTGTTGCTGGTGCTGCTGCTGCTCCTGGCACTGCTTCCTGGCGCTTCTGTTCTGTTTCTGCCGTGCCTGCTTCTGACCAGCCTTCCTCTCCTTTCGAGCTCGTTCAACGCCCGCCTCCTGCTCCTCACACCAAACCCGGTGGGCCTCCCTTGCTTGCTGCTGGTGCCGCTGCAGCTGCCAGAAATGCTCCCTGCTCTGCTGCTGCTCCTCCTGCTGCTGCTGTTGTTGCTGTTGCTGCTGCATGTGCTGCTGCTGTTGTTGCTGTTGCTGCAGCATCATCTGCTGCTGCTCCTGCTGCATTTGCTGCTGCTGCAGCATTTGCTGCATTTGCTGCTGTTGCTGCTGCTGTTGCTGCAGCAGCAACTGTTGCCCCTGCTGCAATCGCAGCTGCACCTGCTGCTCCTGCTCCTGCTGCAATTGCTGCTGCTGCTGCTGCTGCTGCTGCTGCTGCTGAGACAACCAAACGCCATTACCCACCTCTGCACGCACATTAGGGTCCTGTGCGGCAAGCGCGTACACTCTTGTCCCGCTGGCAGCGGCAGCAGCAGCAACAGAAGCAGCAGCGGCAGCAGCAGCAACAGAAGCAGCAGCGGCAGCAGCAGCAACAGAAGCAGCAGCGGCAGCAGCAGCACAAGCACTGCTCCCTCTCCCCGCCCTCCCCATCCTCCCTACACAAACAGCAGCCCTGCCCCTCTTAGCACTGCCACGACTAGCAGGCTTTGAAACGCCTGCCATCACCCCTAGCTGTACTCCCACTGCTCCTCCTGCCATTGCCCCTGCCTCTGCCCCTTCCCCTGTCCCTCCCCCTGCCCCTGCCCCTAGCCCTTCCCCACCCCCTCCCCCTGCGCTTCCAGCAGCAGCGGCAGCAGTAGCAGCAGCCACAGCAGCAGCGGTGGGGGGAGCAGCGGGGGGCGGAATGGGGTTGGCGGCGGAGAGGAGTTGGCAGAGGGGGCGGGAGCGCATGTGGTTGACGAGGTTGCACTTGAAGGCAAACTGCATGCCGCAGCGGCACACCAGCATCTGCCCACACATCTTCCCGTGGTCCCTCAAATCCGCCTGGGGGGTTGGGGGGGGTTGTTGGGGAACGGGGGCAACAGAGAGCACACGACAGGAGGGAGAGAGGGAAAGAGGACAAGGCATGGAGCAGCATTAGCGGCACACCAGCATCTGCCCACACATCTTCCCGCGGTCCCTCAGATCCGCCTGGGAGAGGGGAGGGTGAGAGCGGGAACGGGGTAAAGAGGGGAGGGGGAGAGGGGGAGGGGGTGGGGAGAGGAAGGGGAACGGGGAGAAAGGGGGGGGAGAGGATAAGACATGAAGCAGAAGGGAGCATCGGAGCATGCCACAGCAGCACAACAGCCGAAAGGTGAGAAGGGTGAGACGGGTCAGAAGGGAGAGAGGGCCTTACCTCAACAAAGAACCGTTTGCTGCACTTGCCACACGCAAACGGCTTCTCCCCCTGCAGGTGCTTCCGCCCAAAGTGCCGCCTCAGCTCATACAACCCCACAAACGTCTTCCCACACTCCGGGCAGCGCGACGGAATCTTTTTATTCTGCCCGGCCTTGCTGCCCCCGTGCCGCGGCCCCAGAGCATCCTCACACGCCGCCTGGAACACCGCGTCGGGCAGATCGTGTGTGCGCAGATGCATTTTCAGCGTCTGCCAATTCTTGAAAGTTTTCCCGCAGTCGCTGACGTGGCACAGGAACGGGCGGCGGTTGTGGATAAGGTCGAGCGAGACAATCTCTGCTTGTCTGGCGGTGGGGGTATGTGCTGACCCGGCATTCGCAGTGGTGCTATCTACTCGTCTGGCAATAATTGTATGCGCTGGTTTGCTGTCGGCAGTGGTAGTGGGAATTTGCGCTGCTTCGCCAATGGCAGAGGCGGTAGGAATATGAGCTGGCGTGCCAATGGCAGTGGCGGTATCTGTTTTCTCCGAGATCAAAGGCCCTGTTCCTTGCACCAGAGCCACTCTAGAATGTGCTGCTGGTACGCCTGCTGTTACTAAAGCGCCTGAGAGGCCAAACGTGTTTGAGGCACCCGTGTCTGTGACTCCTTGTGATGGGGGAAAGTGAGTGCCTGCAGTAGGCTCAGCAGACATACCCATAGGTGCAGCCTCAGCAACAGCAGGAGCAGCAGCGCCAGCGCCAGCACCAGAAGCAGCAGCACCAGCGTCAGCGTCCGTTGTAGCACCAGCAGCAGCGCCTGTGACCCCCCCAGTGTCTGAACCGCCAGCAACCAGGGGTCCATTCAGAAGCGCCAAAGCAGCCCCTGCAGGTTGGACCGCTGTGTCTGAACCCACCGCTCCCGCACCCTGGGCAGCAGCATCTGCTGCTGCAACTGCAACGTTATCAGAAGCAGCCACATCTGCTGTAGCAGCAACCATAACACCAACTCCATTGCCAGCTGTAGCAGCAGTCACATCTGCTGTAGCAGCAGTCACAGCAGCACCCACATGGGCAGCTGTAGCAAAGCGCACACTAGATTCTCCAGCAACGTCCATCACAGCAGCGGCTGTCGCATCAGTCAGAGGAGCGGCTGTAGCAGCAATGAGAGACCCGGCTGTAGCAGCAGTGGCATCACCTGCACCAGGTACAGTTGTTGCAGGTTCAGTGGGGGCAGTGGGCGCAGCCTCAACAACAGTGCAGATTTGAGCTGACTCAGAAGCAGCAGCATTTGTAACAGGCGTTGTTGTTGCAACGTCAGGGACACTGCGCTTCTGAGTCGACTCAGGAGCAACAGCATTTGCACCAGGTGTTGTTGCTGAAACCTGAGTGGCGGTGATAGCGGCAGTGGGGACAGCAGCGGCAGCCAGTCCTTGAGGTTCTTCAAAAAGCACAGCAGCAATTTCAGTGGGGCGGTCAGCAGTAGCAGCGACAGAGGGAGAGGGGAGAGCAGGCATAGGCGCATCAGCATTGGCTGCTGCTGCTGCTGTGGCTGCCCCTGCATCTGCTGCTGCTGCTGCTGCAGCAGCATCCGTACCTCCTACAACTGCACCTGCTACAACCCCATCTGCTACAACCTCATTCACTACAGCCCCATCCGCTACAACCGCGCCTGCTACAACTGAATCTGCTACAACCAAATCTGCTACAACCACCTCCGCTACAGCTGCACCTGCTACAACTCCATCTGCTACAACCGCATCTGCTGCATCCGCGTCTGCTACAACCGAATCTGGCGCAGCACTGTCAATTGCTGGAACGTCGAGCACTTGTTCCATCGCTTTCCCAGCTGGCGGCAGCGCGGGCGGCAGCGCGGGCGGCAGCACGGGCGGCAACGCGGGCGGCAGTGCAGGTGGCAGAGCGGGCGGCAGCGGCAGTGGCAGGTCCAAGGGAGGCAGGTCGACGGCCGAAACGTCAGGGAGAGGTGACGGCACAGGCAGCACCGAGGGGTCTCGCAGGGAAGGCGGATCCAGGAGGGTGGGAGGGTCGAGCAGCGTAGGGGCGTCAAGAAGCGTGGCATCGGGCAGAGGGGGGGGCAAGAGGGGGAGGTCCTGTGTGATAGGAGGCTCAGGGATGGAAACAGGCTCAGGGGGGTCAGGTAGAATGAGAGAGTCTAGCAGAGCGGTGGTGTCGGGAGGTGGGGCGGGGCGGGGAAAGGTGGGAGGGGCTGAGAGAACGGGCGACTCAGAAGCACAAGCAGCACCAGCAGACTCAACCGCGTCAACAGCGGCAGAGGCGTCAGCAGCAGCACCAGCAGCAGCAGCACCAGCAACAGCAGCAGAAGTGGCAGAATCGACCGCGCCAGCAGAACCAACAGCACCAACAGCAGCAGCAGCAGCAGCACCGTCAGCAACGGCCAAACCACTCTCCCTTCTCACTCGCTTCTGACAAGGGACCGAGTCCCAACCTGCCTCACCCCCCTCCTCCTCCGATCCACGCTTCAAACCCTTCTTGTTCTGTGGCCTAGTGGGTAGAATGGTACTGTCTGCAATGCTGCTGGGTGGCATGGGCGGCAAAGTGTCCCCTGAATGGCTGCTGGGCGGCACACTGCTGGGCGGCAGTGTGAGGGGCTGGGGAAGGGAGCCCGCGGAAGCGGCAGAGCGGAGGGCGGAAGAGCCGTCCGCGGCTACTGGCGCGGGGGAGGGCGGAAGAAGGGCGGGCGCGGGAGACAGAAACGCAGGCGCGGACAGGGACGCGTGGCGGAGAGGCGGGGCGGACGCGAATTGCGCGGAGGGAGTTGATGGTGCGGATGCAGGCGCGGGCGGGCATGCGGGGGGGAATGAAGCGGGGCGCGCAGGCTGGGCGGACGGGGACGCCAGCGGAGGAGCTGGAGACGAGGGGGAAGCCGCGCGGACGCAGGGCCTTTGCGGAGAGGCGGAAGCGGCGGAGCAGTAAAGCGGGGGCAAACGGGGGAGAGCAGCAGTGGGGGACGAAGCAGGCGAGGCAGTGGGCGGGGAAGGTTCCGCGAAGCCGGGATCCAGAGGCACTGAAGTTTCTGGTACGCGGGGGAGGGACGGTAGAGACGCGGAGAGGCGCATCTGGGGAGTGTGGCGGGTTGGGGAAAGAGGAGCGGGTGATAAAGACCATTCCAACCCAACCCCCACTGCTGTTGCCGCTGCTGGTGCTGCTCCTGCTCCTGCCGCTGCTGTTGCTGCTGCTGTTGGCCGAACTGACGATATCGAGGCTGATCGTATCGCGGATGCCTGAGCCGCTGAAACAGAATGACTGCTCCATACACCGCCGTGAGTTACGCTGGGATCAGCAGCCGGGGGGACTAACACAGCTACAGATGGTGTCGCAGACGCAGCGGACGACACAACAACGGGGCTGTGCGACCCAAACGAGGCGCTATGCGACGCGCGTGACGTCGCGTCTGGCGACCAGCGACCAAAGCGACGGCGCATCACCAGATCCAGCTGTCGCATCTGCTCGTGGGATCGCACACGTCGCATGCTATGCATCGGTAGCTGCTGCGGCGACTGCGGTTGCGACTGCGGCTGCTGCAGATGCCACCACGGCTGCTGTCGCTGCTGCCCCTGCCCCTGCCCCCGCGCCTGACCCTGCGCCTGCCCCTGAGCTTGCGCCTGCGCCTGCCACTCCGCCTGCCCCTGCTCTTGCCCAGCCATCCATCCCCACACCTGCGCCTGTCCCCGCGCCTGTCCCCATCCCTGCGCCTCCACCTGCGCCTGTGGCTGCCCAGGCGCCTGCCCCTGCGCCTCCCCTTGCCCCTGCCCCTGCCCCTGCCCCTGCCCCTGCCCCTGCCCCTGCCCCTGCCCCTGCCCCTGCCCCTGCCCCTGCCCCTGCCCCTGCCCCTGCCCCTGCCCCTGCCCCTGCCCCTGCCCCTGCCCCTGCCCCTGCGCCTGCGCCTGCGCAGGACTCTGCTGATCGGAGGGGGACGACGAGATAATGGACTTTAGTGTGCTCACAAGGTTCGGGTGCATCACCGGCATAACCGGCCGCAATACCGGCGACATAGCCGGCTGCATAACCGGTAACATAGCCGGCTGCATAACCGGCGACATAACCGGCTGCATAACCGGCGACATAACCGGCTGCATAACCGGCGCGAGGGGCGCGTGCGGTAGCTGCAGCGGCGCCGGCATCAGCAGCGGGGACATACAGACCTGAACAGCGGAGAGGCCCGGGGGAGCGGGGGGAACTGCGCCTGCGGGCATCTCCCGGGCGGAAACCAGGGGGCTTCTGTGGAAACCCGCGGGGGTAATGGACGCAGATGGCATGGTATGCGGAACGGAGCGGGGCGCGGAAGGGGACGACATCCCGGGCATCGGCGGAGGATACGACCAATTTGCGCCAACTGTTCCCCCCACGTCTGCGCTGACTGCGGCGGAAGTTCCGCCTCCCCCTTCTCCCCTTGGCACATACGGCGACGGCGGAATAGGCGGTAGAGCCGCGTGGGGGAGGCTGAGCGATGGGATTGCGACGGAATTCGTCGCCATGGCGTCGCCAGGAGCCGGAGCTGCGACTGAAAGTACACCGTAAGCCGCTGACGGGAGGAGGCGGTGGGCCTGAGACTCTTGACCAAACACTGGAGCTTCTGGGGCTGCTACAACTGCAGCAAGCGCTGTGGGGTCGGCTGTTGCGTCGGATGTAGCGGCGGTCGTAGCGTCGGCTGGAAAGTCGGTTGTAGCAGCAGCCGTGGACCATTGCTGAGACGGCACGCGAGGCAGGAGCGCGCGGGCTGTCCCGATGCTGGAAGGAGGACGAGGAGAGGAGGGTGAATCCCCAAGTGGCGCGAGAGACGGAACCCTAACCGGAGATGGATACGGCGAAGGTCCAAGAGCGACTGGCACTGCTACGCCGGGAACACTAATAGACGATGTGATATCAACCGCGCAGCTTATAACGTGTACAGACGTATGTACGGGTTCACCAGCTTTAAGTCGCTCCGCGAGTTGCGAAGTATCGGTGGTAACACAGCGACGAGTAACGAGACTTGCTGGCGAAAACGAGGGAGTATGAGGAGGGCTACATGGTGCTGCTGCTCGCATCGTGTGCTTTTAGTGGAGCGACTACGAGAGCAAAGGAGCGCGACTCGATGTAGAAAGGCGAGGTCGGAGCGACAGTATGAGATGCGTGCAAGAAACACCAGATCCAGAACATTGCGGAATTTCTTCGTCTTGACGACAGTCTAGCGCACAAAACCAGAGCCTCGAGCAAATGTCAAGGAAGCGAGATTCGCTCGCCACACAACTGCCTTGTCCCTTCGAATGCCTGTACGCCTCTGTATTTTCCTCTGCTGATTGCAGGTCAAAGCACCAGTCACAAGTCTCCTTCCCTTCCCCCGCTACTTGTGGAAGTTATGGAAGGACCGACCTCGATGTTGCTCATCTTGTGTGGTGGAGAGCGGAAGCCATAGCCGGGAAAAGTGCACGGGAAAGTGTGGAATAATGAAACCCTACTGGCTGCTAGAAGTGTTGACAGAAGACAGACTGCAGGTCGAGCGTTCCCAACCACTTATTATTCGTCTGTACGATGTACGAAGTTCTCAACTAATCACCCGTTACAGGGTTCCTCGTTGGTCAGGGAAATAATCTGTTCCAATCATCCTTCGCGAATTCACGACAAATTTCTTGGTTGTCAATCTTTCGCTGTAGTCAACTCGAGCCAGGTCTTGGGGGAGACGAAAGGTGGGGATCCAACTGTCGGAGGACGTTCTGAAGACGAAAGATTCGTTACAAGCACGCTAAATTCGAATGTTCGAGTCGCCCGAGGGGAAGGCGAACTCAAAGATGTGCTCAGATGCGAAATGACTACCGACGGCAAGATGGACTCGAATAATGCACTGTACCAAAAATGTTGATCTTCTCAGCTATATTACCTGCCAGTTTCCAACAATTAACCACAATATTGTCCATGTGTCACTGGGTGCTTCCTCCTAACAAAACCCATGTAACATGCTTTGATGCGTCATGCATCAGCAATTGCCAAAAATGGCAGCATTTCACTTTCCACAGAATGCTGCAGTTAGCCCTTTGATCGTGCGTGTGGATGGCGTATGTGATGGATGGGAGAATGTTCGGGAGAATGTCCCAAGGCCTTCACAGCTGAAATCATGGGAAGATGAGAATGCAGGAAAGGGGTTTCTGAATCAGGCTGCAGTAATCCTGAACTGACAGGGTGCCAAATTTGAGAACCCTGGCTTTACCAGTGTAAAAGATGCACCCTGGGGGTTATGGCACTTAACATGGCCTTAGAAAACTGGGTAAAAAAAAACCCAGACAAAGAATCAGGATACGTAAGGCATTTTCCCCTGATCTCAAGATGCACGGCTAGCATCTCTTCTTGCCTTAGCTGCTTGTGCCTGGGCCGAGGCAAACTCTGAAGGCCAACCAACAACATACGAACCATAACAAGACCCCAAAATCCACAGACAGACCAACATAAGAGCAACAAACAAGGGGCACAGGGGGAGGGGTTGAGGGTGGGATTTATGTCACCTACAATTGAATTGCGCATTTGCATCAATCCACCGACCCTGACCAACCATACCAGCCATGTCTTTCAGGCGACTAAAAAACAACGGGTGGGGATTATGTCACCTACAATTGAATTGCGCATTTGCACCAATCCACCGATCCTGACCAGCCATAGCTCGAACAGGCTCGACACAAGCTCTACTAGGATCATACACCTCATACAATCACACACCTTGTAACTCCTCATCAGTGGTAACCATCTCGAGATCCAGCAGCGTGAGAAGCCGGTGCAAATCCACCCCGCTCGTCCAGTTCTCCCTTACATTCCCCTACTGCAGCTTCAGCCTCCCTCTATTCGCCGTCCCCCCCCATATCATCCCGACGGGAACCAGCATCGGCTCGTGACTGTGCCCCACCCCCTCCCACCCCTCTTCTCTCCCCTCTGCCTGCCCAGCCCCTTCTCTCTGTGACGGGTGCAGGGTGAAGGGTGAAGGGCCGTGGGAGAGGTGGGGAGGGTGGAGAGATGGGTGGTGTGCGGTGGTAGCTTCCCTGTGGGTTGGAACGTGGGCGGCGCTGCAGTCTAAGGCGTGATGGTGTGGGAGGTGGTAAGGGCAGGTGTTGTGATGGTGGGGGGTGCGGTGGGGTTGGTGCTGTGAGTCCCGCTCATGCTGCTGCTGCTGCTCCTGCGGCTGCCGTTGTTGTTGTTGCTGCTGCTGCTCCTGCTGTTGCTGTTCCTGCTGTTGCTGTTCCTGCTGCTGCTGCTCCTGCTGTTGCTGTTCCTGCGGCTGCTGCTCCTGCTCCCGCTGCCTCTGCTGGTGGGGAGTTCTCAACTGCTCCTGGAATTCCATTCCATGCTGCATGAAGCCATGCAGGGCCGCATGTGCGCCCTCATGCCCTGAAGAATGCGTGGGAGCATGCTCTGAAGCATGCATGGGAGCATTCGCGAGAGCATGCGCTGCTGAAGCATGCGTAGGAGCATGCATGGGCGCATGCATGGGGGCATGTGCGCCCTCATGCCTTGCAGCATGCATGGGAGCATGCCCTGCAGCATGCATGGGAGCATGCCCTGCAGCATGCATGGGAGCATGCCCTGCAGCATGCATGGGAGCATGCCCTGCAGCATGCATGGGAGCATGCCCTGCAGCATGCATGGGAGCATGCCCTGCAGCATGCATGGGAGCATGCCCTGCAGCATGCATGGGAGCATGCCCTGCAGCATGCATGGGAGCATGCCCTGCAGCATGCATGGGAGCATGCCCTGCAGCATGCATGGGAGCATGCCCTGCAGCATGCATGGGAGCATGCCCTGCAGCATGCATGGGAGCATGCCCTGCAGCATGCATGGGAGCATGCCCTGCAGCATGCATGGGAGCATGCCCTGCAGCATGCATGGGAGCATGCCCTGCAGCATGCATGGGAGCATGCCCTGCAGCATGCATGGGAGCATGCCCTGCAGCATGCATGGGAGCATGCCCTGCAGCATGCATGGGAGCATGCCCTGCAGCATGCATGGGAGCATGCCCTGCAGCATGCATGGGAGCATGCCCTGCAGCATGCATGGGAGCATGCCCTGCAGCATGCATGGGAGCATGCCCTGCAGCATGCATGGGAGCATGCCCTGCAGCATGCATGGGAGCATGCCCTGCAGCATGCATGGGAGCATGCCCTGCAGCATGCATGGGAGCATGCCCTGCAGCATGCATGGGAGCATGCCCTGCAGCATGCATGGGAGCATGCCCTGCAGCATGCATGGGAGCATGCCCTGCAGCATGCATGGGAGCATGCCCTGCAGCATGCATGGGAGCATGCCCTGCAGCATGCATGGGAGCATGCCCTGCAGCATGCATGGGAGCATGCCCTGCAGCATGCATGGGAGCATGCCCTGCAGCATGCATGGGAGCATGCCCTGCAGCATGCATGGGAGCATGCCCTGCAGCATGCATGGGAGCATGCCCTGCAGCATGCATGGGAGCATGCCCTGCAGCATGCATGGGAGCATGCCCTGCAGCATGCATGGGAGCATGCACATGCTCTGAAACATCCATTGGAGCATGTGTTGAGGCCTGTCTGGGAGCATGCATAGAAACATGCATGGGGGCATGCATGGGAACATGCATGGGGGCACGCGCAGCAGCATCTGCTGGAGCATCAACAGGCGTGTGCATTGCCGTATCCACATGCATTGCAGCTCCTGCTGCCGGTCCCTCTGCAGGGCTCTCCTTTTGAGGCGCCTCAACACTGGTTGGATGAATTGCAGTGCTGGCGGGCATGTGAGTTGCACCATTCACAGGCGCCTGAGCAGCCGCAGCATCCGCAGGGGGCTGTATGACAGCGTTGGCAGGGGCTTGTGTGGCAGCATTTGCAGCAGCGGGTTGTGCTGGAGCGCTTGCAGGGTCGTGAATCACAGCAATGGCAGGGGCGTGAGTAGCAGCAGCAGCGCCAGGGCCATGAGCAGCAGCAGTGGCAGGGGCATGAGTTACAGCAGCAGTGGCAGGGGCATGAGCCACAGCAGCAGTGGCAGGGGCGTGAGCCACAGCAGCAGTGGCAGGGGCGTGAGCCACAGCAGCAGTGGCAGGGGCGTGAGCCACAGCAGCAGTGGCAGGGGCATGAGCCACAGCAGCAGTGACAGGGGCATGAGCCACAGCAGCAGTGGCAGGGGCGTGAGTAGCAGCAGCAGCAGGAGGGGCAGGGGCGTGCATAGCAGCAGCGGCAGCAGTGGCAGTGGCATGAATCACAGCAGTGGCAGGGGCATGAATCGCAGCAGGGGCACTGGTGTGCATAGCAGCAGGGACAGGGGCGTGCATAGCAGCAGGGGCACTGGTGTGCATAGCAGCAGGGGCACTGGTGTGCATAGCAGCAGGGGCACTGGTGTGCATAGCAGCAGGGACAGGGGCGTGCATAGCAGCAGGGACAGGCGTGTGAATTGCAGCAGGGACAGGGGCGTGCATGAGAATGAGGCTGCCAGAGTCCCCTTCGACATCAAAGGGCAGCCCATCCTCCCCCACGACCAGGAGGTCCGTGAAGAGCGTGTTGCCCTTGTCATCGTTGTACTCCACTGCATACGCCATCACCGTGCCCCTTGTTAATCCTGAACTGCTGCCCACCTGCCAGGGGGGTGGGGGAACGAGGAAGATGGGAGAGGAGAGGAGGGAAATGATTTGAGAGGAGGGAAAATGGTGGTGAAACGAGGAAAAAGGACAGTGGAGAGGGGAGGGCAGCCCATCCTCCCCCACGACCAGGAGGTCCGTGAAGAGCGTGTTGCCCTTGTCATCGTTGTACTCCACTGCATACGCCATCACCGTGCCTCGCGTTAAGCCCGAGCTGCTTCCCACCTGAGGTAGGGGGAAGGAGGGAGCAGCATGGAGAGAGATGGGAGGGGAGAGGAGGGAGAGGGGTGAAGAGCGTGTTGCCCTTGTCATCGTTGTACTCCACTGCATATGCCATCACCGTGCCCCTTGTGAGGCCGGAGCTGCTGCCCACCTGGGAGGAAGGAGAGAAAAAGAGGGAGAGGGAGAGGAGGGAGGGGAGAGGAGGGAGGAGGAAGGACGGAGATGGGAGTAGAGGAGGGAGAGGGGCTGAGAGGGGAGGACGGGGACGTCAAAGGAGGGGTAAGCGTGTTGCCCTTGTCGTCGTTGTACTCCACTGCATACGCCATCACCGTGCCGCGCGTTAGCCCTGAGTTGCTGCCCACCTGGGAGGAGAGGGGGAGGAGACGAGGGGAGAGGAGGGCGAGCCCATCCTCCCCCACTACTAAGAGGTCTGTGAAGAGGGTGTTGCCCTTGTCATCACAGCCCCGAGCTGCTGCCCACTTGGCCTGGGAAGAGAGGAGATGGGGGGTTGGAACTTGGAGAGAGACGCACGAAGAAAGGAGGTGGTGGAAGAGGGGAGGGAGATGGGGGAGGAGGAGAGGAGTGGGAAAGGGCATCCTGCCCTCACTTCTCCACTGCCTATGCCATCGCAACCCCGGACTGCTGCCCGCCTGGGAAGACAAAGGGAGGGAGGAGGGGGAGAGAGAAGGGGAAAGGAGTCGTACCACCGTGCACATATACCCAAAACCCCTCCTCTGCCGCCCACTGTGCACATATACCCAAAACCCCTCCTCTGCCGCCCACCTTGCACACGTGCCACCCACCTTGCACACGTGACACCCACCTTGCCTTGCACACGTGCCACCCACCTTGCACACGTGTTGCCCTGCCACACTGAAAATCTCGTCCTGCAATCTGATCTCGTGAGGCTTGCCAATCCGACCAATCCCCTCCAGCCACGTGGTCAGCAGACCCACGTCAAACTCCTCATGGAACGGAATAAACGCCCCATCTGCCCGAACAAAAGTTTCCGGGCTCTGCCCTGCAAACACGCCGTACCAGAGGTGGTCCGAGGCAAACGACGAGGCTCGGTCCACCGAGCCTAGGTACTTCCCCGGACCTAGAGAAGACGGCAGCGGGTGGAACATTTTCTGCTTCGGCTGGTCAAAATCGTGTCTGTTAGTCAGAAACCCTAATCCACGTGGCTCAGTCAGGCTCCTAACTATCGCTCCTAGAGTCCCATACATCTCCTCACTCGCAATTTGCGAGCCCGGGCCGATCCTAGAACCACTGCCTCTTAATCTCTCCACTAACTCGTTACTAATTAGCTGCGGCTGCTGCGTTGGACCCCCTCCTCCCCCATGCCCACCGTAATAGGAAAACTCTACTATATCCACATCACACTCATACCCATCTGGACCTTGGAGCTTGCTAGGAAGCACCTGGGAAGGCAGCAGCCACTGCTCATGAACCTTCCGAGGCACAAAAACGATTATTGCAGGCAGGTCCGTGAGAATCCCGTTCCTGGTCCGCAGCCCCAGGGCTGTGCCGAGGCTGAACCGCCGAAGCTGCTCGCTGTGGCAGGCTCGGATGAGCATGAGCTGCCCGATCCTGGTGGCGGCTCGGCGCGGAGGAGCGGGAGGGTACTGGGGCGAGAGAGGGGCAGTGGAGAGCGAAAGGGCGGTCAGATGGCAGTGCGCGTCAGCGTTTAGATCAGGGTTTAAAGCCGTGTTCAGATCTGGATTTAAGTCTGGATTAACATCCTGTGCCTGAGGTGCAGTGACAGCGCCTCGAAGCCTCTTGTCCGTGTTACTCGGGGGTTCTTCGCTGTCCTCTCGTCTTCTCCTTGCTCCTCGTGCTTCTCCTCCTCCCCCCCTCTCCTCCCCTCCTCCCTCTCTCCTCTCTCCCCTTCCCGCCCTCTCCTCCTCTACTCCCTCTCTCCTTTCCCGTCCAAATCTCCGCTCCTCGGCTCCTCTCTCCTCGTCATCCCCGCCAGTTGCATCAGCACCACGTGCAGAAGAAGCACCGATTGCCGGTCTTTCAACAGATAGAGGGCAAGTATCAAATTCAAGCCTCTTATTCGGGGGTAATTCCTGCTCAGCTCCTGCTCCAGCTTGTCCAGCCGCCGTACGCGTTACAGCAGGCTCCGTTTGCACACCCTCCGCTACAGGGACACCCAGCGGCACAACGCTTGTTCTAATTGGGGTATATCCACCACCCACGGGACCCATCCTACCAATCCCTCGCATTTCATTGGCCGGATCAGCTGCTGTCGGCTGCGCGTCATTGGTGGGCGTGGGCGTTGCTGCAGCTGCTGACGTGTATTGCGATCCGGGTGACGTGTACGGCGCTGCTGCTGACGTGTACTGTTGGAAGTATGCTTGACGGCTAACCGGCGATTCCCGGGGAGCCTGATCGGTCGGCCACCGGACGTAGCGAGGAGTGGGGGAAGGCTCGTGCTGCCCTGCGGATTCAAACGGTTGGAGGGTCGGTCGATTGCCGGACCTAACGTAACGGATCGGAGGCTTCCGTTGGAATCCAAATCCGTAGCCACTGCCTCGGAGAAACCCATACCTGGTAGGTCTGGTTCCCCAAGCATTACCGAACCTGCTGGAACCCGAACCTAGATCCGAGGCAGTGCTGAGTCTACTGGAATTTTCCAAACCCAGGCTGGTCGAGGGTTTGTGAGTGCGCGTACTGGCGAAGCTTATAGCGGATTGTTCGTCATTATGCGACCAATGAGCTGCTGAATGCAATTTTCCACCAGATTCTCGAAAGCAAAAGCCCATATTGCTCTCTCTAACGGAAAAGCTGGTGGAAAAGGACGAATTAGAGCCGGAGTATCGCGAGCTCATTCCGCTGCTGCTGCTGCTGCTGCTTGCAGCGTTAACACTATTGTCATGAGAACCTCCACCCCCAGCCATGATTGTCCTGCTCACAAGTGGTTTTTGAAAGAGTGACGCTACAGGGTGGTGGTTCACCCCTGGGGATGTTATTTGGGTGAGGACTGGAGCAAATACCCGCCTCAACAGCGTGGATAGGATGCCTGCACGACCGCAGCGGTGGACGTTGGCAATCTCGAGGTTTCAGGGCTCCACCGCGACTCTCCACCGCACAGAAATTCTCTTAATTGCTCTGCACCCTACGACTACTGGTCTCCAAAACCTTGCAAAACCAATTTTAAGGTATGTGAGTGATCCAACTTGGCCTGTACCTCGAGCTCAGATCAGACTGGTCTGGTCAGTGATCTGCCAGGTGACAAGGCCAGCTGCAAATGAACCTCGAGGAATCTACCAGCGTGGCTGAATGCGGTTTGAATCTACCAAGGGATGCCCGTTCTGTTTTTGCCCGTGGACTTACAGCTTAGGCCCACTTAAATTCCATCTTCAACCATATTTTTATGATATGGTTATGTTAGTATTTTTCCATCCTATACTCTGTTTATGCCACAATGTTTGTCGGAATAACCAATGATTTTTTAAGCATTCCTGAATGTTTCACTTTAGCACATAGGTTCATAACGAATCTGCGCATGTACCAGCATCGCGTTAGCTCGTATAGAGCACGCAACGAATGTCAACTGTTGTAATAAGTGAAGGATCGTAGTGGATAGGATAATTCTGTCAAGTTTGAGAGAAGACAATGAAGTCTTTATAATGCTCTTGTTAATAAGTTGAAAGAGAACAAGATGATTAAAGGATAGTGGTACAAAGATATAAATAGCAATCCTAGCTAGCCATGTACTTTGAGGGGTACATTCCCTTATTACAGTAACTGAATTGCATTGCTACAGTAACCACGACTATTGCTATTCTTGACAGTTACCGTGTTGCATCGCATAACTTCCAAGTGCGGTTACTAGGCAGTCAAGGGTCACAACCGTTGACTGTCTTTGACTATTGACCTTCGGGTGACCCTCGACCTTCCGCATGCTCTATATGAGCTATTGCGATAATGATGCAGGCGCGTAGCTTCGTTATGGAGTGACGCGCGAGTGGAGAGCCTTCAGGAATGTTACTGTAACCTTTAGGTTATTCCAACATTCCCCTTCATTCCTTAAGATCAGCCACGTGGGATTTCTTCGAGATCCCGCAGAGGTTGGTGCAGTGCTGAAACTTCTGACGGACAAGAGGCTTCGAGGCGCTGTCACTGCACCTCAGGCACGGGATGTTAATCCAGACTTAAATCCAGATCTGAACACGACTTTAAACCCTCAAAGGGCCACAAGGCCAGTTCACATGTAGAGTTATATAAAGAGAACAAACAATACAGTGATCATACCCTAGCAAGTGCAAGCATGCAGGTATATATAGAGATCACAGTACAAGCAGAGTCAAGCAGTGAGCTAGTGAGGCAAAGTCGGCACAAGGCCTAACAGAGTAGCAAAGCGCTGATGATCACTAGGCGGAAGTGCCTTGGTGAAGACATCAGCAGTGTTGGCCCGAGTGGCCACGTACGCAAGACAAAGCTGGCCACACTGCTGCAACTCTCGAGCAAGGAAATATCGCAGAGCGATGTGCTTCGTTCTGTGCTCCTGTCTGTGCTCCTGACACAAGGCAATCATGGCCTTGTTGTCTACGTACAGGACTGGAGGCGAACGAGGCTGCTCTCCCAAGTCGGTCAACAAGTAGGTGAGCCAGCGTAGCTCTTGAGAAGCCATGGCCCCGGCGTAGATCTCAGCCTCACAACTGGAGCTGAGAATCGAAGACAAGCAGGTAGACCGCCAAGAAACAGGGTTGGACCCAAGGCTGAAGGTGTAACCCTGTGACGACCACTGCGTAGCTGAGTCGTCAACCCAGGAGGCGTCTGTGTGACCAGTGAGGACAACTGGACCCCGTCCTCCAAGCACAAACCCCATGCCCGACGTACTGCACAGGTAACGTAGTACCCTCTTCGCAGGATCCCAGTGCACCTTTCGGTGCCTACCAGGAGCCACGTAGTGAGCCAGAAGGCTGAGAGGGTACGCGAGGTCAGGTCGTGTGCAAGTCATCAGGTACATGAGGCAACCCACAAGCTCTGGGTACGGACCACTCGGCTCTACGGATTCGTCCGAAGGTGGAGCTAAGAGCGAGTGGCTGGTAGACAGAGGAGTGAGCTGTGGCGAGGAGTACTGGAAGCCGAAGCGCTGAAGGACCTGGTGCACCATGTGTGACTGAGTCAGTGTGATGGTGCGCCGTGCTCTGTCCCGGGTGATCTGCAGGCCAAGATAGCTGCGCAGTTCACCCAGGTCAGTGCAGGTGTGTCTCTTCTGCAGCTCGGACTTCACAAGGGTCAGTGCCTCAGTGTCAGCCGTGGCAAAGACGAGGTCGTCGACGTACACGAGGACGTAGAACGGCGGCAGCGAGGTGTCGGTGCGTAGAAACAGCGACGAGTATGCTGTAGAAGGAGCAAACCCAAGAGCCGCAAGTGTAGTCCTCAGTGTGTCCTGCCACTCGCGAGGCGCCTGGCGGAGACCGTAGACTGGCCGGTGAAGGCTCCACTGAGTACCTGCAGGAAACGTCCCAGTGAAACCAGGTGGTCGGCGCAGCCAGATCTCCTCGTGGAGGCTGCCCTGCAGGAAGGCTGTGCTGAAGTCCAGGGAGTGCAACTCGTAGTCACGCTGAGCAGCGACGTGCATCATCACCCGAAGAGTAGTCATCTTCGGGGTGGGGGAGAAGGTATGGAAGTAGTCAACTCCCTGTCACTGGCTGAAGCCTCGAGCAACGTAACGCGCCTTGAAGGCAGGCGGAGAACCCGACGGCTGCTTCACCCTGAAAATCCACATGCCATCGACTATGTTCGCCCTAGACGGGGGAACTGCATCGACGTAGGTGCCTGTGGACTTCCAGGATGCCATCTCGGCATCCATTGCTGCCTGCCACTGAGAGGAGTAAGGACCTGTAATCGCCTCTGCGTAAGAGCGCGGGGTTGGGATGTCTAGAGCATCCGGGTCTCCCTCAGGGGCAAGCAGCAAGGAAGCGAAACGAGGTACAGCAGCTGCAAGACACTCAAAGTCCTCCTGCCTGTCCTCAAGGACGTCCGTGCCAAGAGCACACTCACCCCTGACGGACGGAGGACTGGCAGACTCAGACTCAGCAACAAGAGCAATGGCCTAGTCTAGACGGCAGGCAGCAGCAAAGTCAAGCAGCTCAGCAACGAGAGCAGACGCAGTAGCAGACTCAAAGGAAGGGTCAGTGACAGCAGTGGCGAGGAGACGAGAGACAGTGGGACTGGCAGCACGAGCGCGGTCAGACGCAGGGCCAGGGACCTCAGGAAGAGAGGACTCAGGAGGAGCAGGCAGAGGAACACGCAGTGGAATAGAGGAAGGACGGAGTGCCATAGCGTGCGTGCCGGGGACAGGAGGAGGGCGCGAACGAGGAGCGCGACGAGCAGTGCGAACAGGCGAGACAGGACGAGAAGCAGGCTCACGACGCTCTTTAAGCCCTCCGAACTGCTTAGTGTAAGGAGAGGGAGCACGCAGTGGGGAGGCTGGCTGTAACCGCGGCTACGACTGGTCAGGTGGTGGACACAGGAAGGGAGGTGGAAGACTAGTAGAAGACGGAACACCAAGAACCTGTTGAAGCAGGGGAACGAAGTACAGTCGCGGCCGCACAGTGTCTCCAGCACCTCCAGCTCCAGGGTCAACAACTCCAGCTCCTTCCGCCCCAGCGCCTCCGGCGCCAGTGCCTCCAACCCCAGCTCCTGCAGCCCCAGCGCCTCCTGCGCCAGGGCCCCCAACTCCAGCTACTCCAGCTCCAGCGACTCCAGCGCTAGCTGCTCCAGGCTCCGTAGGGTCTCCAGCTCCAGCGTACCCAACACCACCAGTTCCAGTAGGAACAGCAGCACCTCCAGCTCCAGTGTCTCCAGCCCCTCCAGCTCCGGGAGCTCCACTCCGATTGTGCGCGCGCCGAACAAGCCACTCACGCAGCTGCTGCGAGGACAGTCGCGGCGAAGCACCAGCAGGACCTCCAGACGCCACCTTCGTTTCGCACCGGTCGAGGAGAAACAGGACGGGATGGGTGTTCCATCGCCCGCTGCGACCGGATGCCCAGCTCGACGATCAGCAAGGGGATCGTCCCGTACTCGCCATCCGCGTGGCGTTTCCTCGCATCAGCCAAGCGTTTCTCCAAGGTGTCTGCTACGCCCGCATTAGCTACGGGGTCGACCATGGTGACTATCGCTGCTGTCGGCCTATGAACAACTTAGTAGGTGCAAAAGTCGGCTCCTATATGAAGGTAATCTGCGGGGTCGTTCCACGCTCACCGCACCA